GCGTGGCCAGCGTCTGAATGTTGAGTGCAGCTTCGAGTGCTCACTGAACGGCCCACGCGAGTCTTTTGTAACCGACGCGCGCAGACAGGCCCGAGCCTCCTTTTTTTTTTTTTTTTTTTTTTCGGGGTTTTGGGGGCACAGGCCAGGCCATATCAGCGTCTTGGTGGGTCGTCGAGACCTGCGACCCCGACCCAGCGCCCCCGACGGGCCTCCCGGCGTGGGTGGCGCTCTGCGCGTTCAGAGCGTTCACCTGCGCTCTTTGAACGCGCGTTCAACGCGTTCACAAACTGAACGCGGAACCCACGTTCAAGGAACGCGCGGCAACACAGACCCTCCTCTGCCCCATTCTTCATCTTTCCCCGCATCTATCTCCCATCTCGCAACTATAAATTCCGCAAGCGCATCCGCAAATCTCTTTCCCAGCTCGTCAGCCAGCTTCCGGGAAGCAGTGGCTAGACGGTGCGTGTATGCAACACGGATCGAAAAGTCCCAACCGGCTGACTATAGACTGGCTGGCTGTGCGCCTGATCGCCACGACGGGCTGTGGGATCGGGGCAAGCCCATGCAGAACCTAAGTCGGCGGGGTGATGATCGCGGTGGTGGAAGGTGACACGCGACGACCGGGATCGTCGGTGCATGTATGAGGATAGCAACCAGAGTTGGATGGATGAATGGCCTGGAGCCATCATGAAACTTTACTGCAGATGCGCCTCCTTGTCTCAAATCTGTTCATTGGTGTGAGTGTATGATTGTCATTTATTGTATCCATCTCCCACTTCTTCCCCTCACCTACCTTATGATATGAATGACTATGTATGTTTGTCGTGGAATGGTTGCCTGATGGGCCGGCATTTTGATTAACCATGGGATGACGGGGCAGGGGTGCAGAGCACACGAAAATCTGAATGATGCATGTCTGCCATTTTCGCACCTTCCGCGACGAGTAACCACGAGTGTAGATGGAAATACTCGTATGAGGAGATTGTAGTTGATGGACTGATCTTTGATTAAGCCAAAGAATTATTGCGAATGGACTTGGAATGCATGAGAAAGGTCGAGTAATTGGCAAGGGCAATGTTGTTGGGATTTTGTTCGAGAATGCAAGAGTGTTCAGATCTGTCGATGATATGATGACGAGAGAATACCCCGGGGTCATCAATCTGGAATGCACTACGCATAACCCGAAAGGTGATCTATCTCCTCAGGGAAGAAGAGGGGCGCCACGTACGACCTTCATGCATGGATCACTCACCGTGTCCCACCTGATGTGAGTATTGTCCCCATGGTGCCTGTATGAAACTTCTTGGCGAGACCCTTAGATCATCGCAAATGCTCTCTCTCTCTCTCTCTCTCTCTCTCTCTCTCTCTCTCTCTCTCTCTCTCTCTCT